CAGAGAAAGGGTAAAGCTTTATGTCCACTCCTGAGGAACTGCAACTATCTGAATGTGAATTGTTTTGGTCCTGTATGCAACATGTCCCAGGCACACCTGCAGAGAGCGAGCCATCACGACAGCAATGGTTGAGATGGACCCCAAGTTCCCGCATAAAACCTTAACAAGTCACCCCAAAATGTCCTTTCCACTCTACACTTGCCAGTAGCAGTGGAGAGAGATCCCTTTGCCCCAACAGCTGCTGATCACCTTTCTGATATATCAGAACTCACACTGACACAAGCAAATGCAGAGAGTGCAGAGGAAGCCCACGCCTCCCTCGCAGCCTCTGCACAGAGGGGGCCATGTCTGGGGAGCTGACAGGCACAGACAGAGCCTTTGGAACAGTGTGAAGGATCATATCCTAGAGTTCCACTTCCTAGAGCAGAGAGTCATGAGCACCAGAGGGAAAATACTCTGGCTCAGGCAGTACAGAGGTGTGAGGGAAGGAACAGGCACCCTGAGGAAGCTGGATGCCTCCTTTCCACAATCAATCACTGTCAGAAGGAACCCTCACAGAATGAGCTGTGCACAGCAACCTGTCACAAGGGACTCAAAGCAGGGATAAGGTGTCAGAAGCAATAAATAGACCCTATATAAGTCTGAGACCATAAACACATGAGGAAAAAGGTTCATAGAATCCTAGAATAGAACCCCAGAATATTCTCAGTTGGATTGATGGTCCTTGTGGGGCCTTTCCAATCCCTGTCCCTGCCCAGACCCCCCAACAGCCCCACCCTGAGCAGCCCTGAGAGCGCTGTCCAAACGCTCCTGCAGCTCTGGCAGCCTCGGGGCCAGGACCATTCCCTGGGGAGCCTGGGCAGTGCCAGCACCCTCGGGGGGAATAAAACTCTTCCTAATATCCAGTTTAAACTCCTCCAACATAGCTTTGTGGTAGTTTTGATGAATTCTTTTCCCTTGCACTCTGAGGACAGCTATATACAGTATCACAGGTGGGAGCACCTCACAGCTCACAGAATTATTCCAATAAGGGATATTATTTTTAATATTTCCATGTGCTACCATAGCACATGAGTTTGGCAGCTTTTTGTTTTTAGTAATTCCACAAAAAAAGCAGTTTAACTCTACCTTTTCAGAACTTTAGACAGTCAGGTTTGAAAGTACCAATACTTCCGCAAAGTAAGGGGAAGACAGAAACTAAAACACACATGACCAACCAACTTTCAGCTTCAGCATTTGGTCCAGAAGGACTAACAGCCTCTGTACAGCTGTATGGACAGCAAGGTAAAGATGACCAGGCTCTGCTGGAAAATGCACAGCACAGATGCTTTTGCTCTAAAGTCAGACATCCTGACACAACAAGCCATCAACATCTGTGCTGCAAGAAACTGAGCAACCCCAGAGAGGCACAGACGCCTGCATTCCTGCATTAACAGGTACTGAAGGAGAAATGTTTTTAAAAAACTCACCTGTTAGCGCAGTCCAGAACCCAGACTCCAGAACCTGACCATGCAAAATACAGCATGAGACAGATTTCTTCTGTTGGATCTTCTCTAGCACAAGGCAGCCGCTCCAAGGAAGTGGACATTTAATATCATACACATACCTGGAGAGGGAATCAGCGCAGAGCAGAGGTCTGGCCCTGCTGTCTGGGTCTGCAGTCAATGCTGCAGGCTACTGGACCAACCCCAGACTTCTTGCTCTCAGCCTCATGAGTCAGAGCCCCAGGAAGAGAGGATTTAATTGATGGAATCAGGTCAAGGGCTACTCACAGACCTCAGCAATCATTGTGACAGGCCAGGAGATGCACCAGTGAAAAGTTACACTGCAGGCTGGACACTGTGCCATACTATATTGGGAAGTGGGAATCAGCCTTCTAACATTTCCCTAGGGTTCAAAGCCCCAAGGCATGGCTGGTGCTCAATTAAGATCTGAGAGAAAGAACAGTGTCCAATGAATTCTGTAATTCTCTTACGAAAATCCTGGATGTCCAAGACATACTTGCCGCAAACACAGGTACAGTGAGCAGCACAGCAACAATTCAGAATTTGCCTGCTGACCCACAGTACTGTTTCACTCATCACAAGTCAAGCAAAGCCATGTCTGGAAGTGCTGAGGAACGCATTACACCAACTGGAGAATGCAAAGCCCAGCACTCTATTCCTCCAGTATGATGAAGAGGAACCCTGCATCCTTCTAATGCTCATCTATTGTGCAGGAATTTCTCTGCACAGGTACTGAAAAAAAAAATAACCAGAAAAAGAAGCTGTCACATCTCTAACAACAAACCAGACACACAGTCACACCCTTATCAATGGCTATAACCTATGTGTACACAAACCCAAAAGCTCCTGGTAAGGAATGTGAACTGACACTATGGTTTGCTGCTACTTTCACCTTCTTGTAATGCTCATCAGTAGTGAGATAAAGGCTAAGCAGTCTGGAGTCTTCAAGGAGCTTCTCTACATTTTATAACCACAACCTAACACATGGAACACAGATTGTTCAATACTCTGCTGCATTTGAAGCAAAATGCACCAACATATGTAATGATCATAATAAAATATTTTGTTCAAACAAACCCAAACTTGGCTTTCAAATCAGTTCTTGAATCCCAGTAATCAGTCTCCAAACAGTTTATGCCAGTTCAATAAGTCATGAAAAATTGCATTCCAAGCAGAAGTATTTTTTGTACCATTATTTCATTAACAGACAATAAATTGAGAAGAAATGTATGTATCATTCAACATTTTTCAAAAAGCAAACATTATCAATGAAACATTAATTTTAACTCTGCAAACACAAACAATAAAGGGAACTTCAAAGACAAAATTCTCTGATTATTATAACTTTATGGGGACACCAAAAGCTATGACTTCATTGAAAAGAACTAAACTGATCCAAAAAGTCTAATTCCAATAAAAGCAAAAGGTTCCCTCCCTCCTGCTCAGGGCACTCAACCCGCTCTATCTCACATGCCAATATTATGACTTATCTGACCAGAAACCAAGGTCAGGGAGCTGAACAGGTTTTTCTGCAGCTCCAGTTTCCTGCCGTCTGCCACAGGGTCAGAGAAATGCAAGTGGAGGCACAAGAAAAGCAGAACCGTGCCACAGGATTTTTCTGTTCAGGGACTGCTGCACATCCATGTGTTCAGCAGACAGTTTGAGAATAAAGAATATAATGTGAACATTATAGGGGCAGAAACATTCTGAAGGGGCAGAAACAAAAGCAAGAGGAAGAAAAAATGCTCAGAAGGAGCCAGTTCTTTGGCATTGATATTCCAGTACTGTCAGTACTGGACTTGACTGGGTAACTGCTCCTAACAGTGTTGCAAGCAAGTGAAAAGTTAGGTAGCAACAAAATCCAGTGGCATGACCACAGCAGCCACACAGAATCCAGCACTTGCAACCACTTTAGAGAAAAGCCAGTGTTCTGTCCACAGGCACTCAAGGGCTCTCTGAAACAATAACAACAATTTTATTTTTCATTCTTGAAGTTAAGAACAACCTTGAGAACACAAGTGTGTTTTGGACTTAAACTACCCAGCACTGTCAAGTGCCAAGTTAAAGTTAAGCAGACTTTACCAGAGTGTTTGATGCTACAGGTACCTGTGAAGCAGGGTCTCCACTTCAGAGACTGAATAAATCTCTTGCTCCCCACTGAAAATATCCTTCCCACACAGGTAATTCTGTGCTTATTTTACAGTCTAAGGTGTGGGTCAGCTACAACCTGCTATGATAAAGCAAGGGGTCTTATTCCTTACAAAACCAGCTTTCAGAGTAAGCCTCAACTTCTGAGGCAAAGCACATGACAACAACTGGGACCAACACTCACCTAACAAAACATTCAAAGAAATCAGTATTTATGTAACTATTTTACCATGACTGAACATATACATCCTTTAAGTAGAGATACAGACAGACAGACATTACAAGATACTTCATCTGTAAGATATCAGGAAAGTCAGAGACATGGATATCAGAGAGGCTATTATTCAGAAGTGAAATTCTGAAGTTTTTAATTATTCAGTTCTCGTGGGTATTCTCAAGCAAATAAAGCACTAAAGATGACGCACAGAGAGCTCTCATGCATTCCATCAGCTCCCATGCAGCTTCTACAGACTAGGGAGCAGTCTCAGGCCGGCTCCCTTATGGGTTAGATAACGATCAGTATCGCTGGATTCTGAAATACAACACTGAGCATGTGCAGCACAGAATTCCACAAGCAGTGAGCTGCAGGCTGAGAACAAACACCAGGGCACAGCTAGTTAACAGCACTTTTTTTTTCCCCTCCAGAAACAACCAAGCGCTCTCACTGAATCCAAGATTCTGCAAATACTGAACAAGAATAATCAAAACTTGTAAATGAAGTATTTTAACAGTGCAAGGACTAAAACCACTCCAGAGAGCAGCTAAAACCTCCTGCAACTAAACAGATATGGAAGCAGCTGCTCTGTCAGCATTTGTTTTGCTTCAAGGAAACATTAAATTTCACAAGTCAGAACAATTCATTCCTCTCATATTTTAAAGCTACTACTACTAATCCTATTTAAGGGACTTACAAGTTAAATTTCACAACAGTGATAAGACCTACAGTCACTTCAGAACTCCAGCACACCTTTCTTTTACTGATCAAAATCAGAACAAAAGGTTTGTATATTCAGAGCTCAGGTGGAGTCAAAAACACTCAGACTGTAGGAAGAATAAATCAGTCAGGGACTAAATCTAAACCAGTCTTAGACCTGTCTATTAATGTTCAAATTTGGGAACTGTACTTCTTAGAATTCCTAGCCATACACACAATAGTCATTAACTTAGCCTTGAACATTCCATCCTCCCAATATCCAATCCTGGCGTTACTGGAGCTCCAGGCAAACTTGGCAATTAGTTTGATTACACACACAAACACTTAGTATTTCTAGATTAAGTTGAATTCAATCAAGTATCTGCTCACACAGTCTAGCACAAGGTGACAATTTCTGAAATACCAAATCATACCTGCAACTTTATCCCGAATAAGTTTTGCAGATTCCACTTCACCAATGCTGCTGAACAGACTCCGTAATTCATCCTGCGTCATGTTCTGAGGAAGGTAGTTCACAATTAAATTTGTCCTACCAATATCATCCCTGCAATCTTCAGCCATGTGATCTTCATAACCATTGGACATTTTACAATATATCTGCAAAATGAAAAAATCCTCAGTGAGGTTTAGATCTTCACATTTCCACAAACCAAACTTCCTCCACCTGAAATAAGTTTGAATGTTTATTTTAAAAACTAAGAACAAGCCACTGCTTCAACAACGCTTTTTTTCAACTCAGAAAACAAAACACCATTTGTTGAAAATTCCAGAACAATAATTCTTTCAAAAGCACAAACATGACATTTTACAAAACTATGTACCATTAAAGAGCTCTTCAGGATTTCTAATTTTTTACATTAATAAAAAGCATCAAGATAGATTTTGAAGACATTCCTGTAAAACCAAAGTGTTCCCAACAGCCAAGGTAAAAAATCAGGTTCCCTCATGTCCAGATACTTGACCAGCCACAACCACACTGCCACCTCAACCTGAATTCCAACCTTATGCCCAGAACTTTTACCAACAGGAAGACAAGAAGCAGCAAGATCTAACCCAGCAGTTCAGTGTTTCAACTGGAGACTATTAATTTTCTAATGTTTTCCCTTGTAAATGTTCTCCATCCAGCATCTCAAGGCCTGTTACAGCTTAATGCTGCCTTTGGTGCTGCTTTACTGTGTGTATGAAACTGCTGAGTCTGTGCTGCACACTGACTTGGGGGCATATTGAGTATTTGACAATTTCTATTTTTGGCAGCTTTTTAAAGAAAGCCCTGAGAAAACACACAGAATTCCTATAACAGGAAGATACTCTCTGCCTCAATCCATCATCAGGGACTGAATCCTGAAGTTTTAGTTGACCTGCAACTAAAACTCACATGAGACTCAAGCTGCTCATGGCTTGCCAGAATCATAGTTTTTAAAGCCCTTCAACTACTTTGTCAAAATAGTCAAAATCAGGATATCTAAATCCTGTTTCTGCAACAGAATCTACAGATCTGGATCTGCTAAAGGATTAGCCTTTCCATGGACTGCACCATGACTGACAGCCAGAAGTTGAATAATGGAAGAAGTCAGAAACAACCAGAAATCCTCAGTCTAGAAAGGGAATGCTCTCTGCATGAAGGGACTTCCAGGCTCCTCACCAGCAGCTGCTGTTAATTCATGTCTGAAAGTGAAGGTCAAATTTTTAAACAAATACCTGAGCATGTGATTATAGAATAAACCATGAGAAGACTTATGCTAATTTAAGATTTAACACAGTATGGATTTGAACTGAATCTTTATCTTTTCAGTATGTGTTGGAGCATTAAGAGTTGGCAGCTCTTGCTCCCCTTCACCCACAGATCAGGTTCTACTCCCATTTTTGTGTTTCAAGTGTCAACATGAGCCCATTCCAGCACCTTCTGCCCATGGGATAACCAATCTGTACTATGAAAGCAATGGAAAACCACACAGGAGGGAAGCCCTTCTTGTTGTGTCAGCAGTTTTAATCTGCTCTCCTTGCAGCAAGATAAGCACCAGTTAATGCCACAGGATAGGAAAGCAGGTGGAGACACTGCAAAGCTGGAAGCAGGGGAAGCGCAGGCAATTTTTAAGCTCCCAGGTCATCTCTATTGTACTGCAAATTTTGTCATTAAATACACATTCCATCCTGGCTCTGTCACAACTTGCTGAGCACAATCTCAGAGAAGTTTCTTGTTCTGGTAAACAATGCTCAAACAGCTGAACTGTCTATAGTCACCATGTCTAAGTTATAAAATAATGCAACACACATTTTCAGAATTATTTTAATAGAAGGCAACTTTGCTTGCCTTCATGCTCCATAAAACTCAAGCCCTACAAGCAGAACACACCAATATGTTGACGAGTACAAGTTGTATGGCACAACTAGAATATTCAGTAAGCAAAGGAAGAAACGTCGAGATTTTTCCACCTGTAAGAGGAAAAAGTTAAAATTTCCTTCATTTTAATGAACTTTGCCCTTTATTACCATTTATTTATGCTATAAATCCTTCATGCTGCTGAGATTAAGAAATTGCTATAAATTCTAATGATTTCAAGAACAGACACTTAAAAGATTGGGGTTTTGTTTTTTTGTTTTATTTTCCATGGTGTATCTGCTGCCTGAAAAGGAGGCAACACAGTCAGATACCAAGCAGAGAAACCTGCCCAGCATACCATGATGGCAAGTTACCACACTTATATCTGGCATAAAGCAGAACTGACAAGAGTTTGCCAAGTGGCTACTGACTTTCCATCATTGTCCCACATCCTCTAAGTCTGCAATACTCACAGTCTACACCCTCCCAGGACACTTAAGCAGTGCCTGGGGCAGGGCTGATTCAGAACCATTACAAGGTGGGAAGGAAGTTGCTTTTCTTCAGGCATTTAGAAAGCAAACAGAGGAAGCCCTTGCATACAGGCCTGGCAAAGGTTTCCATGGGATACCAGGAACCAAGCATGCAGGAGCAGTGAAGGCACAGTGAAGGGCTAGAGGAGCAGAGCACTGAGAGAGAAGATGCTTCTTTCTTTCTAATCTCCTGCTGAGCGCTTACACAATCTACTGCAGGACTAACACTGTCCAGCCAGCCTGGAAGTTAGTGGGCACCACTTCCTCTGTTGGTGAGGTGTTAAGGACACTCCTCCACTCCACCAGTCTGATGTCACTCTGGGGGTCCCACTGGCACTGCTGGGATCAAAGCCCCTTTGCAGCAGTGGCTCCAGTGACCCCACAGGTCCTGTGTGACTCCCCACACACCCCAGTCCCCCAGTCAGACCAGCTCCTCTCACCAGCTCAGCCCCAGGTTTCCCACAGCACAGTCCCTGACCCCAGTTCCTCTGTGGTGCAGTGACACAGAACAGCTCCAGCTGGTGCCCCTGGGGAGGGATCTCAGACAAAGCCCCTCTGGGCTGTGCCCATCCTGATACTGATGTTTAGTCCAAGGTCATCTCAATGTGTCAGGGGAGGTTTAGATTGGATATTAGGAAAAGGTTCTGGAAGAGGCTCCCCAGGGAAATGGTCATGGCCCCAAGTCTGTCAGAGTTGAAGAATCCCCTCCCAGAACAACCTGCAGCTGCTGACCTGAACCAGGTGTATTTCTCAACAGGTCAACAGTTCTCATGCCAGCGAAGTTTAAAAAAGCCCCTAAAGAATTGTTACCTCTGCATACTGAAAAGATTTCCAAAACGAAAAGAAGATGTAAGGCAGGACAGATGAAACAAGCAATGCTACACTGGAAAACAAGGTTTTATTCAGCTCTCATTGAAATATACTAAGGGAACGTCCTGATCTTTCTTTACCAAAGATACAACAATCCATTTATATCAGTAAATGTTCTCGATTTGAGAACCAGGCCTATACAATAATTTGCAAGTTAGAACTTCGTTAACCGACGCTTGCCATCTACAACATAAATCACAAGACTGAATGCATTTATATTCCCAGCGGACAGGCCAATGATAGCAAGAAGGCCCAACGGCTCCATTTGGGAAGGCTGACTGAAAAGAGACTGGTAATTTGCAACCTTTCCAAAACAGGCCTTCATTTTTATGTCCCAAAAAACTAAAACTTTAAGACTAGGTTCCACTGCACTGCACTTCCTGAAATGACAAATTCTAAAACAATAATCAAATGCTGCAGAAGCTTATTTGAAAAGGCAGCAGCAACCTTCGTCCTAGGGTAAGGTGCCCCAACATTTAAAATGCCAAGGGTGCACAGAGCAATAAAGGAAACCATATGTGCCGTGTCCGAATCGTCCACTAATTCTGGAGGTGCTCAAATCCACACAGCAGAACACTTCACCACCTGTGCCAATGACTGCTCAGGCACCCTCAGCCAGGCCAGCATTCCCAGGACTGGATTGAAAAGCTCTCATGGGTAATTTTTGCAGAAATGTTGCACTGACCATGACAATCAACTTCTCACAAAAGTGCACCAGATTCCACAGGTTTAATTGTTTTGGCAACAGACCAATAAGTTTTTTCCCAATGACACTCTGTATCTCCGTCCAGAATTCTAGGAATCACTGCTATTAATTATTTCACCGCAAGATGTTTCCTAAGAAGGAAGACCTGTATGGATCTGTGGAGATCACATGAAACAAGAACACTGGCAAGAACTGTCCATCTTCAACATCAGGCAAGAGGCTTTGTCTACCTACACCTTGCTCACAGAACTAAAAAGGCACCAGACCACTACTGAGGTCACAAATTCATATACAGACACCTAAACAGATGCTCACAGAATGCCAGGATAGTTGGGTTGGAAGGGACCTTACAGACAATTTAATTCCACCCCCTACCCCAGGCAGGGACACCTTCCACCATCCCAGGCTGCTCCAAGCCCCATCCAGCTTGGCCTGGAACACTCCCAGGGATCCAGGGGCAGCCACAGCTGCTCTGGGCACCCTGTGCCAGGGCCTGTCCACCCTGCCAGGGAACAATTCCTGCCCAATCTCCCATCCAGCCCTGCCCTCTGGCAGTGAAGCCATTCCCTGTGTCCTGTCCTTCCATGCCTTGTCCCCAGTCCCTCTCCAGCTCTCCTGGAGCCCCTTCAGGCCCTGCCAGGGGCTTGGAGCTCTCCCTGGAGCCTTGTCCAGGGCTCAGCTCTCTTGCCCCAGCTCTCCCAGCCTGGCTCCAGCCCTCAGAGCATCTCTCTGACCTCAATCACCTGTTGGGCTCACTCCAACACATCTATGTCTTCCTTGTGCTAGAGTTCCCAGAGATGGAGGCAGCTGCTCAGGTGGGACAGATGATGGATCAGCTAGTGTAAAACTTAAGATGGGAAATTCTTCCTGGATCAATGAGCTTTGTGACACAGAGCTCATGGCACCTTGACTGGAGCACTGGGAATGGGCCACAGTGAGCACAGCATGGTCCTTAAATCACAGCAGACCTGAGGCTGCTGACCCAGCTACTCACTCAAAACCTCCACCTTTCTTTGCAATGAAGTGCAAGTCAACATCATCCAGGACATTCTACACAGGAAGGGCTCCAGTGGACAGGGCCTGACACAGTCCCTGAACTGGTGAAACCTCCTTATTGATGTTAGTGGTAAATGAACAGGAGCCCTGAAACCAGTGATGCTGCAGAGTTCTG